AGCCTTGCCTGACTGCCCTTCCCCACCTCTCTACTTCCTCTGGGTTGAATTAGAAGTCTGTTCTCTGTGGTATGACCTCTTAATTGATTGCAACAGGCCCATCCCTCTGTCTTCAAATTGTTTATATGCTGCTCTGTCCCCATGGGACTATGAGCTTCCTGAGGGCTAGAACCAAACCCACTGCACCTCTCTCTGCACCTCTGCTACCATCAAAGGATGGGGGGGGCAGCGCAGGAGCTCGGTGGTGCCAGCCAAATCGCTGGAGGGACTGGCTGGGAGTGTGGACATCACAGATGGCTGATTCTGGGGACTGGCAGTGTGAGAACCAGGTGAGGAGCCCTGGTCTCATCTGCGGACTTCCTTAGCCTCCTCTTACTTGAGAGCCTCAATTCCTATGAAATTGCATCAAGTCCTCATCACACACCAGGCTAAATGCTCATCTGCATAGCATCCTCCATCCAGAAGAGCCCTGAGCTGCAGGCATGAATACTAAAGCACCCTGAAAATGCCAGCCCCAGAGAGACAGACACCTGGGCTGTCAGCTCCCCCGGCACCGGCTTGAGTGCCCAACCCCTTCACCCACTAGGGGACAGCCCAGTGCAAGAAGGGACAACAGAAACAGAAATGATCTTGAAGTGCTTCAAGAAGTGCTTCTTGAAGGCCTGGGAAGGGAGCCCCCGTATCAGGGGGATGGAGGAGAGGGCCAGTCTGGCCTCTCTGGAAGGGTGGCCCTGGGGTGCTTGGGAGGAAGTCGGTCCCTGATCTTGGAGGTGCTGCCCTCCCTTCCACTGTGCTAGCAGCAAGCCCAGCCATCTGGCTGCCGGCTTCGGTGTACCTGTCCCATGATGTCCTCTAAGCCAAGACAGAGGCTCCTCACAGCCATTCTCCTCTGACTTGGGCCATCATCCTGGAGGACAGGTGAGTGCAGGGCTTCCCATCCCCCACCCGTTCTTCCTGGCTCTGTTTGGATCCCCCCACTTCCTTCTCTTCCCTGCCCCATTCCCCACTTTTCTTCCCTGTTGAGTAATAGCTTGCGCTTGGAAGACAGACAGAACTGGGCTCAAACCCTGACTCTATAGCTCAAGCTTTATGGCCTTGGGAAAACCACTATACCTCTCTGAACCTTAGAGTGCTACTCTAGGAAATGGAGACAAGAGCAGACCCGGGAGGTAATGTGAAGATCATTTTATCAGAAGCTAAGAATTTCAGGCAACTTCTTGTGTGTCAGAAATGTTAGTTTGCTTATTTCTTAAATTGACAAACTTAATTTCTATTCCATGTTTCCATTCTTCTTGAGTGTGGGGAGAAATGAAATCTCAATAAACTCAGGGCACCCCATTTCCCCTAGCATAGCCTGAACATTCTTCTGGGGGACTTATGAAGCGTCACGGTGTGGGGTGTGCTTGGCCTCTGATGTGCAGCCCATCACCTCTCCAGGCAGGCAGACCCCAACATGTCCTATTGCCTGTGCATTTTGTGATCACTGTGTCATCCAGGTCACAGCTAGAACCAAGGTTTGCTGGTTCTCTGGATCTTTCTGAGTCATGCCTGTCTTGGGTGCAGAGGAAAGATTCTTTTCCTTGCCAGAATCAGAATGCCCCTCTCAGAAAAGATACAAAGTCTATTGGAATGTACAATATTCCTGCCATATAGGGGACTGGCAGGGCTGGGAGGGGGATTTAGGGCCATGTCCACTCTCTCAGGCTCTACATGGGGAAGGGGCAGGTTCTTCTCAGCCCCCAGTTCCCTCAAAATCTGGGGATTCAGTGTAAACAGTTCTCCACATGAGATGGGTCAAAGACAAACCCCGTTCCTGTTGTTAACTGAGCCTGTGTCCTTCCAGGCCTTTCATCTTAGCAAGTCAAAATCTAAGAAGGTGACCCCATTGTTTCCATGTCATCTTTGCCGCAGGTAGTGAATGCCGCAGGTCTCAAGTGTGGGAAGGGTATGCGGTCACAGGATAAAACAGGAGGAACATCCATTGTTGTCTTGTAGTTTTAAGTTACCACATTTCTGCAGCCCTGTCCTAGAGTCAGCCCTCAGCAAGATGAGAGCCATGACTTTTCTCCCTCTTTCTGTCCTCCCTCCCTGTTCCTGGGTTCTCTCCCTCTTCAGGCTCCAATTGCAGCAGCAGCCTTGCTGGGAAGCTGGGAGCCTGTGCTGACAGGTTCAGCGAGCCGTGCAGGGCCAGGGGCACGCTCATTGCTGGCATGATTACTAATCATCACACAGCACCCACTTCCCCTCCCTGCTCACTTCCTCTGGGGTCTTCAGTCTGTAGAAGCCACCGAAGGAAACAGACTCTGTGCATCCCCACAGGCTGAGGGGCATGACTGCAGCCCCCAGGCACTAAGGATAGGGGGAGCAGGGGGACTGCACCTGCCAGTCAGAGGGCCAGGACTTGGTGCGCTCCCCCTCTGTATCTGTTCCTCGACTCCAAGAAGCTACAACATACCTATGAGTCCCCAGTGAACTGCTACCTCCCATAGAAATGGTGCTAGAAGAAATGAATTACTATAGCAGCAGGAGAGCTTGGGGCTAGACAGGAAGTGTGGGCTCTGAAGTCAGAACATCTAAGTTCAAAGCCAGCTCTACTACTTGCTTTGTGACTTTAAGCAGGTCACTTAACCCCTCTGTGCTTTGGTTGCTTCATATATAAAAGGGAAATGAGAATACCTACCTGATGGGGTACTGAAATGATTAAGTGGGACCAGGTGCATGGCTGGCATATAGTAAATGCTCTATAGATAATGACTAACATGGTGGCTACCATTGTTAATATAATTATTATATAATCCAAGGAGAATAAAGGAAGGATGTGAACACAGTTGACTCCTAGACATTTACCCAAGAAGATTATAGATTCATATTCTGTACACACTTTAGAAAGGCAAGAAATTCTGCCCATGATTTCTGTGCTCATTACCCCAGTCACTTCGGCATTGCCTGACCATCCTGTCACAGCACTATGGCGATTGTCCAGGGCCACCCCCACCCCACCTTGACCTTGCTCTGCCCAACTCTCACCTCCATTCCCTCTAGCCCCATCTCTTTCTACTCAGGTCCACTCTTGATTTCTCCACCCAACATCCCCCCTGACCTTTGCCCTAAACTGATCTAGACCCCTGACCTTGCTGAGTCCAAACTTTTGTTTATCCCCAGGACTTTGGATGGGGCTGGCTAGCCTGTCCAGAGTCAAGGGCTGGTTTCCTCAGCAGCAGAGCTAGAGAAGGCCTTCCCACTGTTTCTTGGTGAAGTATGGGAGGTTATAGCAAGTTGCATATCTTGTCCTCTTAGACTGTGAGTTTCCCAAGCCAATGAACATAAATTTTTGCAACCCCAGAGACAAGCTCAGGGAGTGATGAATGAAAGGAGACACACACTAAATGCACTCACTAAATTGGGACTGAATGAACAAGTGGATAAAGGTTAATGATGACTGACACCCTTCACTGAGCCTCACAACCTGCCAGGTACTATTCTGAAGCACTTGAATCCTTCTACTTATTTAATCCTCACAACAGTCCCAAGACATAGGCACAATTATTACATCCACTTTACATATGTTGAAACTGAGACTCAGAGGAGTTGAAGTCACACAGCTAAGAAATGACTGGATCAAATCCCTTACTATAATCATTCCACCTTAGAACAGTTTCTTAACCAGGTGTCCATGGATATGCTTCCAGTGGGAGTGTCATAAATCCTATAAAATTTTATGCAAAGTGTGAGTGTGTGTGCTTGCATGCATAGTTGGCCTCAGGAGAGAAGATTCACAGGTTTCACCAGATACTTAAATGTTGTTTGAACATACTTGAATCCACCCACCTTTCCACCCTTCCTCCATCTGCCCATCCTTCCATCATCCCTAGAGAGCCATTTGATCAATTTCATGATCTGCCTTGTGCCTGGCCTAATGCTGGCACCCATGACTTCTTTGTTCTCTACAAGGTCTCTACAACACATTACATTGCTTTAGATAATGAAAGTTGAGATGCTCTGGTATGTCCTTCCCCCCTCCCTGGCTCTGGGCAACTCAGAAGGGTTTTACTGCCAATGTCTGGGTTGTGTGGGTGGCTGTACTCTGTCTGAACTCATTCCAGCCCCTGGTGGAGACTGTTCCAGTGCTGGAGCATGAAGGGGGAACCCCTAGGGCAGTGCAGCCATCAGGACATCAAAGGCAACCCCTGTGGCCCTGGATTCCCCTGTGGCAGTCCTGCTCCCTCAAGGGGCCTGATCAGTCTTGATGGATGAGGCCATGCTTGATGCATGTGGCCCAGGAGAGGCACTTTCCAGGTCCAAATCCTACAGCAAATCCTTTTCTTCCCCTCAAGGCGGAAGGGAAGAAGGTATTTGCAAAGAACACCAGAAGGTGAAACTGGGGAACTGAGTTGGCATTTTCTGAGCCAGGACATTTTCTGTTCCAGCCAGGGAGACCCTGTGCCATGCACATTTGCAATCTCAACCATTTTCAGCCTCACTCTGCAACTGACATTGGAGGCATAGTTCTGCTTTCAGACTTGGGAAATTGAGGCTTTCAAAGGTCAAATAAATTGCTTGAGGTCACAAAACAAACCCAGTATTTGAAACCCGATCTCCTGACTTGAAAGCTGTACCCATTTCTCTGTCCTTGAAGGATCTATATGTACTTGCAATATAACTTTGTAATTTGCAAAAGATCACCTTACCTAGCTTCTTACCACACTAAACTCATCCATCCCTTTTTTGCAGCCCAGCTTGAGTACAGTTTATAGAGTAGTCACTGCTTGTCCTTGGGGCATATGTTCCAAGACCCCCAGTGGATGCCTGAAATCGCAGATAATACCAAACCCCATATATACTGCATTTTCCTATACATACACACATAGATAAAGTTTAATTTATAAGCTAAGTACAGTAAGAGATTAACAACAACTAATATCAAAATAGATCAATTATAACAAAATACCATAAGTTATGTGAATGTGGTCTCTCAAAATATCTTAAATATCTGTACTCACCCTTCTTCTTTTGATGATGTAAGAGGATAAAATGCCTACGTAATGAGATGACATTAGGTGAATGACACAGGCATTATGACGTAGCACTAGGCTACTACTGACTTTCTGGTGGTACCTCAAAAGGAGAATCATCTGCTTCCGGACCACGGTTGACAGGGGGAAACTGAAAACTAAAACCACAGGAAACAAACCTCAGAAGCTAAGACAAGGGGGTACTGTGGTAATGATAAGAGGATCTGACTGTCTTTAGCCTTAGACCGCCTGAGGGCAGGGACTCCTGCCTTTTCTTGCTCATTACTGGTACACATATTTAGAATAGTGCCCAGCTGATAGATGGTGCTTAATAAATATTTTTTGAATTTATGAATGAATAACTAAATGAGCCCCAGGGCATATAATAATAAAGGACATTTGCAGAGGGCTTTGTAGAGAGATGCAGCACTTTTTCTTTACTTTACTAATCCTCACACTGACCCTTGAAAGGTCCCTGTTCATGTTTCACAGATGAAGCAGCCCAGGCCCACAGGCACATTTAGTAAGTGAAGTAGGAGTTGATCTTGGGGCTAAATGATGGTGGCCTTTTCCCTGTCCTGAATGATCACAGTGTGAGTATTTGTGGAGCACTTAGGATGTCCTGGGTCAGGCTGAACCACGGTGGATGCAGGCTGCAGAGAGGGGTACATGCTTTGCTTTCTAAAAGCCATCTATTTGAAGAGGCCAGACTTATGCATGTGGAACATTTGGGAAATGGTACAAGACAGCAGCTAGCATAGTGCTGAATTGCACATAATCAGGTGCCAACCACATTCCCTTCCTTAACTAATCTGAGTCTTTTAATACCAGATGGGGACCCTGAGAATAGATTTCCTATAAAATAGATGAAGAGCAAAGATGGAAGCCAAGGAGAAGGGCTGTGGCTTATTCATTTTTATACCCCTCTAGCCCAGCATGATGTCTGGCCCATGGCAACAGTGATAGTGGCAGTCCACCCTCCATACCTGGCCACACTATGTGCCAGGCACCTCCTGAGGGCCCACATCACTTCACAATGCCTCATGGCAACCTTACAAGGTCAATGGTAATGCAGTCCCAGGAAGGTGAAAGTAGGGTTCTAAGAAAGTGCTCATCAGGCCCAAAGTCACACAGCTAAATGGGGCAAAATCAGCATTTGAACCCAGATATAGCAACTCCCCCAGATCCACACTCTTAATCTGACACTGCTGATTCCATGTGTGATGGAGACACACTGAACTGCTCTTGCCCAAAAGGATGGGAAGAAATATGGCTGTGGTGAGAAAGGGAGAGAGGAAGAGAATGAACATAGCTTATACATTACACAGACAAGCATGTACATGCTTAAAAAGAAACCCTGCAAGTCTCTGACCGTCTCATCCCTGCCTCCTCAAACAGCTTCCCAGGGATACCCTAAGGAGTCCTATATGGGTGCTCATGTCAGACAGAAGAGAAGGCCTTGACCCATACCTTGAGGGTATGGATGGGTGCTGTGGTTGTGTATTAGTTTATTCAAGCTGCTATAACAAATGCCACAAGCTGGGTGGCTTAAACAGAAATTTATTTCCTCATAGTTCTGGAGACTGGAAGTCCAAGATCAAGGTGCCAGAAGGGTTGGTGCCTGGTGAGAGCTCTCCCCTTGGGTTGCAGATGGCTTCCTTCTCCTTCTCTTAGTATGCTCGTAAGGCCTTTCTTCCATCATGTGTGTGGGGGTTAAGGGGCCTCTCTGATGTCTGTTCTTATAAGGACACTAAGGACACTAAACTCATGGAATCAAGGCCTACCCTTATGACTCCATTTAACCTAAGTACTTCTTTAGAGGCCTTATCTCCAAATACAGTCATTCTGGGGGTTGGGGTTTCAGTATATGAATTTTGGGGTAACACAAACATTCAATCCATAAAAGCTTAGATGAGGGAGGAGTCAGAGCTGGAATGGGGCATGAGCTAGCTCACCTTCCAGAGTAGAAGGACTCACAGCCACTGAAGCCCAGTTTGCATAGGGCTGTAGCGAGTACACCATGTCATGGACAGCAGGACAAATGGTCCCAATAGCCAGGGGACTGATGGGGACTCCCTCTCTCCCCATTCTGTGTTGTGTTGCAAGTCTGAGAGAGGCAGGGAGTGGATCTGCTGTCTTTTTGTTCTCTCTCATTCCTCCCACTTACTGTGTATTCCTTCTTAGATGCATTCTTTGAGATCATCTCATGGGGGATGTTTGCGGCATCATACAGTGCATGTGTATGTCTGTTTACCTGTAAATAATTCCTACCACACAGGGCATCAGCAGGAATAGCTGAGCTATTGTGTGTGTAAATATCTGTACATGGTAGATATCTGAATGAACAACTATCTGTTGAGTGAATCTTTATTTGGGAGAATGTGCATCTTCCTTTGATGGGCAAGGATGATCTGATAATCATCAGTTTTTACTTACTAATTAGGTCACTGAACAAAAAAATTAGTTAATTCATCCATCAGCTTACTTTGCATCCCTGTCAGAAACCAGGGGTTAAGCAGACAGTGTAGAGCTAAAGCAGTAGCAGTCCCGGCTCTTAAGGAATTTTCAGTCCAGAGGGAGAGACAGACAAGGAAAGAGAGAATGAGATCCCAAGAGAATGAGTTCTCGGATGGGAAAAAGCCCCAAGTGCTCCAGAAGGCCAAGGCAGGCACCTACTCTGGGCCAGAGAGGGACTCCTGGAAGAAATGGCAACTGAAGCAGATCGTAAAGGATGAGCAAGAAGCAGGTTATCAGACAGAGAAAGGGGTGAGGGACAAGATCCTAGGCAGAGGGAGCAGTATGGACAAAGGCCTTGAAGCACAACCATGGAAGGTATATTTGGGGACCAGTGAGTGAGTGTCTGTATGACTGGAGCCTCAATAAGGGCAGCAGGGAGCAGGGGGATTGTGTATATCTTTGTGACTTGGCTTTATTCCACTGTTCAAAGGTAGCCATTGCGTACTCCTCCAGAAGCACTTTACCCTTTCCCCTGTGTAAAATGGAGCAATTCCTCTGCTCTCTGCTTTTCTAGAGGGGAGTGAAGAAGAAGAAATGAGAGAACAGCTTCCAGAGTTTCTATAAACTTCCCAGTGTGGGTCCTGTTCTCCAGGGAGTATGGATATCAGCAGAGCCCTGGGAGTAAAGTGGCTTGGTGCTCCATCCAGTGATGTCTGAGAAGCCTGGGAGCTGGACCAGCCTCTCCCCAGCAAAGATCCCTTCTCTGTTCCTTGAGTCCTGGCCATCCAAACAGATGACCTCTGGCCTCAGCTCCATCCCTATCCTCTTCTCCAGCAGGGAGAGCAGGAAGGAGGCAAGGACCAGCCCTACCCATCTTGCTCCGTCATCCAGAATTCCAGGCCTCATGGATATAGATAAGCCCCAGCAGTTAGGAGATTTTTTATACCCCTCTAGCCCAGCATGATGTCTGGCCCATGGCAACAGTGATAGTGGCAGTCCACCCTCCATACCTGGCCACACTATGTGCCAGGCACCTCCTGAGGGCCCACATCACTTCACAATGCCTCATGGCAACCTTACAAGGTCAATGGTAATGCAGTCCCAGGAAGGTGAAAGTAGGGTTCTAAGAAAGTGCTCATCAGGCCCAAAGTCACACAGCTAAATGGGGCAAAATCAGCATTTGAACCCAGATATAGCAACTCCCCCAGATCCACACTCTTAATCTGACACTGCTGATTCCATGTGTGATGGAGACACACTGAACTGCTCTTGCCCAAAAGGATGGGAAGAAATATGGCTGTGGTGAGAAAGGGAGAGAGGAAGAGAATGAACATAGCTTATACATTACACAGACAAGCATGTACATGCTTAAAAAGAAACCCTGCAAGTCTCTGACCGTCTCATCCCTGCCTCCTCAAACAGCTTCCCAGGGATACCCTAAGGAGTCCTATATGGGTGCTCATGTCAGACAGAAGAGAAGGCCTTGACCCATACCTTGAGGGTATGGATGGGTGCTGTGGTTGTGTATTAGTTTATTCAAGCTGCTATAACAAATGCCACAAGCTGGGTGGCTTAAACAGAAATTTATTTCCTCATAGTTCTGGAGACTGGAAGTCCAAGATCAAGGTGCCAGAAGGGTTGGTGCCTGGTGAGAGCTCTCCCCTTGGGTTGCAGATGGCTTCCTTCTCCTTCTCTTAGTATGCTTGTAAGGCCTTTCCTCCACCATGTGTGTGGGGGTTAAGGGGCCTCTCTGATGTCTGTTCTTATAAGGACACTAAGGACACTAAACTCATGGAATCAAGGCCTACCCTTATGACTCCATTTAACCTAAGTACTTCTTTAGAGGCCTTATCTCCAAATACAGTCATTCTGGGGGTTGGGGTTTCAGTATATGAATTTTGGGGTAACACAAACATTCAATCCATAAAAGCTTAGATGAGGGAGGAGTCAGAGCTGGAATGGGGCATGAGCTAGCTCACCTTCCAGAGTAGAAGGACTCACAGCCACTGAAGCCCAGTTTGCATAGGGCTGTAGCGAGTACACCATGTCACGGACAGCTGGACAAATGGTCCCAATAGCCAGGGGACTGATGGGGACTCCCTCTCTCCCCATTCTGTGTTGTGTTGCAAGTCTGAGAGAGGCAGGGAGTGGATCTGCTGTCTTTTTGTTCTCTCTCATTCCTCCCACTTACTGTGTATTCCTTCTTAGATGCATTCTTTGAGATCATCTCATGGGGGATGTTTGCGGCATCATACAGTGCATGTGTATGTCTGTTTACCTGTAAATAATTCCTACCACACAGGGCATCAGCAGGAATAGATGAGCTATTGTGTGTGTAAATATCTGTACATGGTAGATATCTGAATGAACAACTATCTGTTGAGTGAATCTTTATTTGGGAGAATGTGCATCTTCCTTTGATGGGCAAGGATGATCTGATAATCATCAGTTTTTACTTACTAATTAGGTCACTGAACAAAAAAATTAGTTAATTCATCCATCAGCTTACTTTGCATCCCTGTCAGAAACCAGGGGTTAAGCAGACAGTGTAGAGCTAAAGCAGTAGCAGTCCCGGCTCTTAAGGAATTTTCAGTCCAGAGGGAGAGACAGACAAGGAAAGAGAGAATGAGATCCCAAGAGAATGAGTTCTCGGATGGGAAAAAGCCCCAAGTGCTCCAGAAGGCCAAGGCAGGCACCTACTCTGGGCCAGAGAGGGACTCCTGGAAGAAATGGCAACTGAAGCAGATCGTAAAGGATGAGCAAGAAGCAGGTTATCAGACAGAGAAAGGGGTGAGGGACAAGATCCTAGGCAGAGGGAGCAGTATGGACAAAGGCCTTGAAGCACAACCATGGAAGGTATATTTGGGGACCAGTGAGTGAGTGTCTGTATGACTGGAGCCTCAATAAGGGCAGCAGGGAGCAGGGGGATTGTGTATATCTTTGTGACTTGGCTTTATTCCACTGTTCAAAGGTAGCCATTGCGTACTCCTCCAGAAGCACTTTACCCTTTCCCCTGTGTAAAATGGAGCAATTCCTCTGCTCTCTGCTTTTCTAGAGGGGAGTGAAGAAGAAGAAATGAGAGAACAGCTTCCAGAGTTTCTATAAACTTCCCAGTGTGGGTCCTGTTCTCCAGGGAGTATGGATATCAGCAGAGCCCTGGGAGTAAAGTGGCTTGGTGCTCCATCCAGTGATGTCTGAGAAGCCTGGGAGCTGGACCAGCCTCTCCCCAGCAAAGATCCCTCCTCTGTTCCTTGAGTCCTGGCCATCCAAACAGATGACCTCTGGCCTCAGCTCCATCCCTATCCTCTTCTCCAGCAGGGAGAGCAGGAAGGAGGCAAGGACCAGCCCTACCCATCTTGCTCCGTCATCCAGAATTCCAGGCCTCATGGATATAGATAAGCCCCAGCAGTTAGGAGAGCTGAAGCTTTGAATCCGGTGGTACTCAGAGGAGAGCTGCCCAGCTCAGTGGCCCCCAGTGGCCCCATCTGCCAAAAGAAGGTGGTGATATTGCTGTGAACTCCAAGTTCTAATCCCACATCCTGGTTGGGTCACTTCAAGCAAATTTCTAATCTTTGGTGAGACTCCATTTCCTCTCTGTGATGATTAGACACCACGCATCTCACTCACAGGGCATGTGGTGATGTGGATTACAGCAATGGGCAGTGCAGGTGAAGGAGATGGAGGTTACTAAGTGCACCTTCCCTGTTGCACAAAGTAGGCCATGTGTTTGGAATTGAGAAAGCATGAAGTGCCAAATAGGTAAAGAAAACTACTGATGATCCCTGGCCAAGTTGCAGGTCACCTATGTCCCTGAAAGGATAGCTAATGGGCTGGAATGAGGGGAAGCAGCTCCTGACTGACCTTGTGTCCTTGGGATAGGACTGAGTGCCTGTGTGGCATTGAGCCTGTGTGATGTGGTGACTGTGGTGCCATTTTGCACTGACTGTGTGTGTGTCTTTGTCTTGTGTGGGGTCCTATAGATGCACCAGTGGGTGTATTATGTGCTGCATGCGCCTGTGTGTACAACAGCAATGTCTGTGTGGGCTTGTGGGACCTGTGCCCATGTGTTTGTGTGCCTATGTGTTCCTGTGTGTTTATGAGGCCATATGTTGGGGGACTGACCCTGTGACCTGCAAATACGTGCATAGTGGGAACTCAGCCAGCTCTGGCCTGGGGGAGGGGTAGCTCCTCCACAGGCTTTCAGGGAGTAAGCCTTGCATCTCAGCACCATGGAGAGCTGAGGAGAACCCACAGGGGCAGACCCAAACTTTCCGTTTTGGGTGAGAAGCCCGCACAGGGGTTTTGGGTCTGTGTGATCTTCAGTGAGAACTCACAGCAGGGAAACTGCTTCCTAAATTCAGCCGTTACCCCCTCAGCATTAACTCACAGCCTGCCCCCATAGCTCATGGCTAATAAATTGTTATTGGTGGTGAGGCGAGGGGAGGATGAAGGAGGGAGAGAGGGATGAAACAGAGAAAAGAGAACGCAAGCTCCCAAACAGAGGAAGGGCTCCGTTTTCCCCCGCAATTCCCTCCCTTGGAACGTGGCCCTGACACTGGAGGTGCAGGAAGGTCCCCTCTTCCCAAGACAACCTACGTGGATGTCTGTTTTCCACCCGTTCCTGGGTGGGGCAGACTTTTTACCCCACCCCACGAATTCAGGCGGTGGGTTAAATAACATTTCCCTTGAAGTCAAATGAAATAACACATCTCACACAGGGACACGCGCACACACACACCTACTGCTCGCTGACCCCCACCCTTTAGCCAGGTACCTACCTTGGGTTTGTGCGCCCAGGCCCCCGGAGCCTCGGAAGCCCGCGCCCGGCGTCCCCGCGGGCGCGCAGGAACGTGGGCAGCAGAGCCCTGCCCGGCGCCCCTCGTGGCGCCCGGCCCCCGCTCCGCCCCTCCGGGGTTCCCCGCCGGCCCCTCTGCGCGCCGGGGACCCGCTTGGAGCGCGCGCAGGCAGGCGGGCGGGCGCGCGGCTCCTCTCCGCGCCGTCCCCGGCTCTGTTCATTCATGATTGGTACTCGGCCCCCCGAGACCCAGCCCGAGCGCCGGGAGGGGAGTGGGGAGGGCGGCAGGAGGGGCGGGCGGAGCGCGGCTCCCACACCGCACGCGACGCTGCCTGGCGAACCTCGGCCCGTGCCCAGCGCCAGGCAAGCTCCGGGGCATCGTCCTCGGCCCTTGGCTCCGAAGGCACGGCGGGAGCGGCTGGCCCCGTGAGGCGGTGCGTGTGAGGGGCTGCAGGAGGGAAGAACAGGCTCCCGGCGCCCCAGCCCCACGCCCTCCGAATACCAAGCTGCAGGCGAGCTGCCGGGTGCTTTTTTTCCTCCACCAATTGGGAGTAGACGATCCACGCTGATTTCTTTCCAGGGGAGGGGAGGGGCAGGGTGCGGGGTCCCAAGTCGCACACAAGTCTTCGCTGCCATGGGGGCCGTCATGGGCACATTCTCGTCTCTGCAAACCAAACAAAGGCGGCCTTCTAAAGGTAAGCCACCTCCTTCTTCCTTTTGTCTCCCTGGAAGGGTTTAGGGGTGCTCGAGGCTGAGCTGGGGTGTGCTCCCGCCTCCCTTGACCCTGAACCCCCTCTCCATGAGGAGCGAGGACAGGTCTTTCTATCCAAAGGAGTAAGAAATCGGCGGGAGGACTGGTGTGAATACCTATGAACACGCAGAAGGGGGAGCCAGAGTGGGCACTGGCCCCAGGGAAGGGATCCCTCTGGGGCACTAGGTGCCAGGACCCTTCTCTTAGGGTAATCTCTTGGGGCAGAAGGAAGAGGCACATTTCCAAGTGTGGGTGGCTGGTTTATCTGGGTGGAAATGTTGGGATGCTCTTGCTCTTCCCATGACCACTGGTGTTTGTGCAACTGTGGACACCCAGCAAGGGTGCTCACACAGACACACTCCTCCCAGAGCAGACGTGAAGTCCATGATGCAGGGAGAGCATGCTGTCTGCCCACCCCAATAAACCTCTGCAAGTCAAAAGGAATCAGCTGTTGCCAGGTGGTAAAACTCCCTGGGCTTATGTCCTGGTGGTTCAGGGAATCATTTGGAGTGGGGGCATCACACAGGGGTGCTTCCATGCTTTGGGAACCCCTGGGGATCTAAGGGCATTGTCAAGGTGTGGTGGAAAGGTGAGCTTACATCAAGATTAGAAAGCATAATATCCTCCTGCCTGGACCCTGTTCCATAGCTGCCTTTCCCCGGTTGAGACATGACTGGTCTCACCAGTGGGACAGTAGTCAAAATGGGTCCCTGTGAAGTGGGGGCAAGCTTATTGCACAGCGGGGGGCTATGCAGGCCTCCTATCCAGCAATTACAAAGTTGGTTGCTGGAATAAAGAGCTCTGCTACTGTCAGGGAAAAGAAAACGATGGGTTTTGTTTTGTTCAGTTTAATGCTCAAATACTCTTGTGAGTGGTAGAAGGATTTTAGGGACCTGGTGCTTAAACCTGCAAGTTCTGCCATTGGAGCCAGGTTCTGATAATAGGTTGCAGTTATAGCTCTTGCCCCTTGTGCTGGCTGGTGATCAGAACTGTATGAGTGTAAGGTTGGAGCCCAGGGTGCACAGTGAGTCTACTCTTAGGACCCAGTTGGTCTCTCCTGACTCAGGAAAGTCTTCATCACAGAGCTGCCCGTGAGCAGTCTGTCCTCAGGGGGTCCAGGTATCTGGCGCAGACCCCAGAGACCTCAGGCTTGCTGAACACTGAGGAAGATCTCTGGGTGAAGGTCTTAGGTGAAGCAGGATTGGTGTTTACGGCCTAGAACTCACAAGAGGCCTCGCCCACTTGTCCAGCTGAGTTGAACATCCTGGCAGGGAAGGGACTGGTTGCCCTTTCACCAGATCTGAGCTGGACAGGTGTGCAAGCCTTGGCCCAGGACTTTGACATTCAGAGACACCCCCCCTCTCCCAGATCCTCAGATACAACTTGACTGAGTTGAGCACCAAATCCTGGTCTCCCCCTCCACCATCTGTCTGACCACAGTGAGGTCCCAGAGGCCAGGGGACTGTGGAGATAAGAAAATCAGGGGGAGCTGTTTTTAAAATATATTCAATGCCTGTGGCACTCCTGGAGACACCTGGGTGTCCCAGAAAGATCTTGGACTCTAGAGTCCAGCCGACTCTGGGTGTGAATACTGACTCCATCACTCCTTCCTCCTGTGATCTCATGTCAGTCTCTTCACCTCTCTAAGCCTCAGTTTTCTTTAAAATGGGTGAGAATTCTACCCCCAGGCAGGAAACTGGGTGTGTAGGAAGTGGAGGGAGGGAGGACCCACCCCAAATACTATGTTGACTGCAGCCACCAGCCACCCAGGAGAGGTGGTTAAGGATATGAAGGAATGGATGATGGATAAGGAGCTCCTCGCACAGTGCTGGGCAAAGATTAAGAACTCAGACAATACTCAGATATTACTATCTATCAATCCCTTCTCCTACACAAAACTCCAAGTCACTCAGGATGCATTCCCAGAAGCCAAAGCTCTTTGCTTATTTCTCCAGGATTCTAAATAAGAGAAGAGGGGACACCAGGATTCAGTGAGCCTCTACTATGGGCCTGGTAGAGTGCTTTTTCTATACTTTCTCATTTAACTCTCACAACAATGCACGTTTGAAGCTCATAGCAGGTGTAGGGCTGTTGGGAAGACTGCCATGACAAGCTGCCCCATCCCTGAGTGGTCAGCCCCTCTTACACAGAGTCCCGCCACATTGGCGGGAATTGTCCAGGGCTCCAGCTGTGTATATTCCCCCAGGCATTTGCCCCAGAGCAGAATCTTATCTCACTGTCTTCCTCTGTGGAATGCTAATCAACAGAAGATCTTCCCTGCAGAGGGAAGTGGCTTGGAAACTGGCTGGGGAGTCTTCATTGTCAAGGATCATTTCCGGGCCAGGTCCCTTCTCCCTTGGGGCCTTTTATAAGGAGGAAGTTACATTAGACACCTCCTCAGCTTGCATCCTATTTTCAAATTTGAAGATTTTTATTACTAATGTTCTTGCCAGAGCTGTTACTATGATCGCTGAGACATCAGGCTCACATCTAATTAGAAGCAGTCAGAAGAGGGTGGTGGAAATTTTCAACTCAGGAATAAGTCTCCCTGCTGGGTTCAAATCCAGGATCTACCAGTTACTAGCTATATGACTAAGCCTTGTTTTTCTCAACTATAACACAGGGACAGTAGTAGTTACTATCTTAAAATAGCTGTTGTGTGTTGTGGATTTCAGGGATAATGCAAGTCAAAAGCTTAGCACAAGCTCTGCTATACAAGTGGTCGGCAAATTTTAGCTACTATTCGATTTCTGGCGTTCCTGTTTGGGGATTCCAAATGGGGTAAAGCCATCCTGGAAGTAAGCAGTGCCTCTGGGAGTCCTAACAGCTCGTTTCTGCAACCCTCTTCCATCCCTGGGTAGGTAACCAGGACTCAAACCACAGGAACACACATGCTGTCCTTGCTGCCGCAGCGCCCACTGACCGCTGCTCTGAGGCTGCTGAACGAATATGCTGCATGTTTTGAAAATATCATTTGGTGACACACATCTATTTTTAAAATAGGACAAAACTCCATATGACTAGTGCTGACAGAGATGCACCCCACCCAACCTGGGTGTGTAGGGGGAGCTTCCTGAGGGCAGCAGAACTCTAGAGTGGTTTCAGAGCTATGTCACTGATGAAAAACATTCTAATTCACTTGCTCTCTCTGTTTGGGATCTTTGTCTTTAATTAAGAATGAGCCAAGCTCTGCTTTGGGAGATTCGGCTTCTGCCTCCTAGTCCCAGGTAGAATTTGTGGCTCCAATAGCTTTCATGTGCTTATCATATCAAGGTTATTGCTCTGGGCTTGAATGGGTAAGTAGAAAGAGCTGGGGTTCGTGGGTAACCAGAGGAGGACTGTGCAGGTGCAGCTGCCGGGCCTGTGGGGGAGCGAGCGAATTTAGGGAGAACATCAGTACACCAAAGGCCATCTCAGTGGAGATTTGCCCATAAGCACATCGTCCCACAGGACAGAGGTAGCTGGGTTGTTAATCCTCCTTGATGGAGGGAAAGCATTCAGAACTTTCAGGAAGGGCTGAACTTGAGATCTCCAGAATGTTCATTGAATAGATGAGCAAATGACATCCCATAGCTGTCAGAGTACTTTTCCTAAGTCCACATGGCAAGTTAGAGACAAATATGGGACTGGTCCCTGACTTGTAGATCAGTGAGCACCTTGGAGAATTTATGGAACCAGAGGATCTTGATGAGGCTGGGTTTGGAGTTTGATTAGACAGCATGTTCAACCAAGAAAGATCTAGGAGACTGAGAAGCTGTGAGCCATAGAGAAGCAGCCATCACACTGTGCTCAGCTCAGGGGGCCTCCGGTCAGTCACTTCACCTGGGAAATGCCAGCTTCCTTATGCCTAAGAGAGGGGCACTGATTCACAGAGGTATTCATGCCCTGGGCATCACCTGTTTCTGCATCTTTGTTCATCCTTTTAGCTGTATTACCCTCCCCCACCTCCTTGTCTTTAGTTAAAATTCCACCCAGATTCCAAGACCTCCCTCAGCTGTTTCCACATTCAGGAAGGCTTCCCCAAGGCCCAGAAAGAAGCAACTTCTGCCATCTAAACGCCTAAATCTTTTTAAGTGTATGTTCTCTTGACTTTCCGGTCATGCTTTGAATTAGGCAATGGACATCTGAATCGTTCTTCACAGTCCAAACTTGGTTTCTTGCACATAGTAGATGCTCAATACATCTTTTCTGGAGGAAATTATAAATAATGGAAAGGTTGGCCATTTTCTGTTATTTCCTGGAATTGTAGACACTGCAGGAAAAGTTAGCTTCCTGCTGAAATTTCAGTTACCAGCCCTCTGCCTGGAATGAATTCTGTGATGTGGTCTGTTGGCTTTGAATTAGCTTTGTCTACAAAATGTACTGAATCTGTTTACCATTTAGCAGGGAATAGCTAAGAACAGTGTTCTATTCCCCAGGCCCCTGATAGTCACAAAGGCGTGGGGAGCCAAGCCCAGTGCCAGGCATAGTTCTGGTCCCTCAATCCCAGAAGAAACTCAGTGGAGCTCAAGGTGAACAGAAAGAAAGGAGCTGGAAAAGACTAAATGATGAAAGCAAAGGAACTACAGCCTAAAAGCAATGGGTGTTTTCAGCCTCGTGGCTAGAAAGTCTTGGACCTCTTGTATACCTATAAGTTTGCTCAATAAATGCTTCATGAATGTAGAAATGCACAAGTGAGTGAAAGAATGAATGATTGAATGAATGGGGGAATAAATGATTAGATGAAAGAAAGCAAATGAAGTATTAAATGTGTGACAGAAGGAATGATGAAAGAAATGAGAGCACGAATAAATGAATGTATCCATAACTTAGTGATGAGTAATGACATCTTAGAAAGGCTATAATAAAAAACTATCTTTGCATGAACAGCATTGATTGTCATGCTACCCAAATCCTGGATCTAAGCATCTCACTGTGAAACTTGGAAGGAATCAGTGGTACAGA